CGGGTCACCTGCACTGGAGCAATGGGAAACAACAAAGACGAGTGGGCATGCTTACCTGTCCAGGCCATTCAGCTCGGCCTCCACCGCCCTCTCGGCCTCCCGATCGAGCGCCTCCATATCCACCGCCGCATCCTTGTCCTCCGTACTCAACTCCTCGAACTGCTTCTCCCAATCCGTATCACTCAGCTCCTGGATCCGGCCCTTGCCCTTGCCCTGGTACTGATCTTGCTGCTCTTGCTGGCTGAACATCTGCTGCTGCTGGCCTTGGTACATCATCGGCCGCTGCATGCCGAACCCGCCACCCATGCTATTGCCATACATCGGCGGTCGCTGGTAGGCGGACTGCTGGAACGACGGGCTGTCATTGCGCTGGATGGGCGAGAGCTGTGCCTGCCGGAACTGGGCAAAGTCTTGCGGGCTGAAAGCACCGTTACGGTCGGGTTGGACCAGCTGCACGCCCTGGCCCGGATTGAACTGTGGCGGCTGCTGCGCGAACTCGCCGGCCCAGCCATGCCCGCCTCCTCCGCCGCCGCCCGTCCGCTCAATGTGCTCCTGCTCCCGCCGTAGCTGCTCGAGGTGGAAGGCCTCATTCGGCAATGCCTCGCCGAGCTGCGGGCCCTGGTGTTGGAAGTCCTGAAACGCCGCATCCTCGGGTAGGCCAGGCTGGGTGCGGAAGCCGTTGTACTGCGGTGCCCGGCCCGTCAAGCGATCGCGCTGCAGCGATGTGTCGGCCGACGTCTGCTTCTGGAACTGCGCGAGTGGGTTCGCGCCTGTCGAGCACTCGGGGCCGCCGAGGAAGGACATCGTAGGCGGAGATGTGGGGGAGGTACTGAGGGATCGGTCGCAGTCGCAATCGTGTCTTGCGCTCTTGTGTGAGCTGTGCTGGGTGAAGCGGCGTATAGACGAAGTCTCAACCTAAAACGCGCCGACGAGCTCTTGTAGAGATAGTGGACTGAGATGCATCGAATCGCCAGCTCAACCTCGCCATCGCCCTTGGTGATGTAAGCGGAGTATTTGCCGAGGTCGGGGTCCACCAAGGCCGAATTCAACGAAGCCTTCACATGCAGATGCCGATCGAGTCCCGCGCGAGTGGCGGCATCACGCGATTCTTGCCCACTGTGCACGGAAAGGCTACTCAGAGCCTCGCCCACCACCCACATCGACACCGTACCATGAGTTATGAGTATGAGTATGAGTTATGAGTATGTCACAGAGTGGAAACCGAGGTGTATATTCTTCCCTTCCCGCCCTCCTTCTCTCAAAACGCCACCTCCATGCTATACTACAACTTTCAACTACACGGCCAGAAAAACGCACGGCGATCAAGGCACCAGCCCTATCGCACAAGGACTGCAACGCCCGTAGCAAAGCCCACCCACAAACCCGACGAAAGGGTGCAGCGCTCACCCTACGATGGCGCACGCACGCCTCCGCCTCCCCAGCCTTCCCTCGAACACGCGCAATCATCACGCGTGCCTATCCCGCCATGCCATCAGTGACAGTCGACCGCCCCTGCCTGCCTGGGTAGGTAGGTAGAGTAGGTAGGGCCGAGTGTGCCTCCCCTCATGCAGTGCGTTCCACCATCTCGCCCCTTGCTCTCCCTCTTCCTCTTCTTCTTCTTCTTCTTCTTCTTCATCCCACCCACCTAAGCATCCCCCTCCCCCAGCCCCTCCGACCTCGTCGCCGAACTCGACGCGCTAAAGTCCACGCGCAACTGCCGGCCATACACCTCCTTCTTCTCCAAATGCTCCTTGGCCTTCTCCGCCGACGCGACATCGATGAAGTCGGCGTGCGCGAAACCCCGCGGCTGGCCCGAGCGGCGGTCGATGGCAACGCGCACGTCGAGCACGTTGCGGATCTCGCGGAAGAGATCTAGATATGTCACGAACCGCAGGTTAGCTCGAGTCCTTCAATGTAATGTTTGTGTGAGTGTGTGGGTGTGTGGGTGTGTGAGGGGCCAGGTTAGTGTTAGTGAGACATGTACTGACCATTCAAATCCCGATCCGACATCTGATAGCTCATATTCCCAATGAACAGCGTCTTGCTCGGTGCATTCCTATCCCTCGCCGCACTCCCGCCCCCGTACGCACTGCCGCCCACCCCGCGCTCCCCCCCACCGGTCCTCGGCTCCCTCCGTACATGATACTGCACCGCCATGCGCCTCCCCTGGAACACCTTCTGATCCAGCGCCGCCACGGCCTTGTCGGCCGCCTCCTGCGTCGCAAACTCCACGTACGCGAACCCCTTGCTCAGGCCCCGGCTGTCCGTCACCACCCGGCTGTTGGCGATCTCGCCGTGCCGCGCGAACTCGGCCTCGAGCTGCGGCGCCGTGACTTCGAAGAAGAGGTTGCCGATGTAGAGGATGCGCGAGGGCTGGATGTCGTTATTGCGGGGCAACCGCACGATGTTGTTGCTGTCGGAGGAGGAGGCGAAGTCGGCGCGGTCGCGGGGCGCGCGCGGTTGGCGGGGCGGGAAGTCGGCGTTGGAGCGGCCTTGGTTGGCGGTGGCGGTGGACTCGAAGGCGTCGCGGGCCGATCGTGCCGCGGAGGAGGCGGTGGACTGGACGGTTTGCACGGCCGAGGAGGCGTAGTCTTGGGCTTGTTGGGCGATGCTTTGGCCTGAGGATTCGGATGTCTGGGCTGCTTGCGCTGGTGCCTCGGTCTGGCCGATGGGCGCGGAGGTGGTGCCTGAGGACTCGGAGACGGCGTCGTAGTAGGCGTCCGTAGGCTGCTTGGGGCTAGGCGCTGCTGCATCCGGGCTGGTTGTGCTCGAGATGGACTCCTCCTTTATCTGCTCTTCGGCCGCGCTGGGCTCGGTGGTGACGGTCTCGCCTGACGTCTCGGCCTCAGCCGGGCTGGCTTCGGCCTGCTCGGCGGGCTTGCGCTGCTCTTCCTCTGCCAGCCATATGCGGGATTGATGGAATTGGCGCAGGAGAGTGGGCGGGGCCAACAGGGTCACGCGACTGGATGGGCGGGCTGTGAGCTGTCGCGTGGGGTGTTGCGCGATGGCGCGCGTGGCGGCACGGCGTAGGATGTACCTGCAGCACTGTCAGTACGTTGTGCGTTATGCTGAGCGAGGGGGGGGGGGGCGTGGTACATCTTGACTTGACAATCTCCCTCCTCTCAATGCCTGCTCTGGTTAGGCGACTCCGCTCCGGATTCTGATGCGCGGGACTTGCTAGCGAGCCGGAAGATGCAAATGTCGGAGTACTGAAAGGGTAATAACGCGTGATGCAGTATCGAGCAAGATGTATTGATGGACACCCTCCCTCTCCATGAAATCTTGAAGACTTCGGAGGGCGGACGGGGGTGAGCTCGGACCCCTGTGCCACATATGAGCGCATGGAGAGCTGTAACGAGAGGCACAGCATGTCGTCCACGCCTCCATCTAGATCTACAGTAGTGCTGTGACGTGGCAAGCAAAGGAGACAGCCATGACCGCTACCTACTCGTAGCGACCCTTAAGGCCATTTGGGTCGAATACGCAGCCGGCCCACACAAGCGAGCTCAGTATCGACACGGCATTCCAGCTATATGAACACGCTGCAATGCACGCTCGCTTGACCGCTGTCCTCCCTTTACATAACCACGCACAATGAACGACCACCGTGCCCTCCCAGCCATTGCCCGTGCCGGCACAGGCCTCGCCAACATCGCGCCCCCCCGCTCACGCACCGATCCGCCGACCCAACGTCCCGACCGAGAGAAGTCCCACCTCCACCGACGTCTACATGCCAACACCATCACCGGCAAAGGCTCGCACACGTCCAGCCACCGGCACCGCGACAAAGCGCGAGACACCGTGCAGTCGGCTATCGACTTCAAGCCGCCAATCAGCTTCGACAGCCTGCTCCGCCGCGACAAGAAGAGCCCAGAGTCCAGCAGACGCGGCAGCGGCAGCCAGCAGCAACAGCGCGACGTCAATGAGTGGCGCGCGCAACAGCAAGCCCAGGCGGAGCAGGAAGCACGACGGCGAGTGAGGCCCGAGGATGTCGCGCAGGCCAAAGCAGAGAATGCGGCGCGCGAGGAGGAGCTGCGGCAGAGCTTGAAGGACGTCGAGGAAGTGGGCATGAGCAGTACGCGGCAGCTAGACGACACCTACTACGCCATCCTCGAGAAAGCCTCGATCCTGCGCTCCACCGTAGCCAGTCTGCAGCAGCTAGCCGAAGCGAGCCGGCGGATGCAGAAGCAATTCCAAGGCGATGCGCAGACGCTGGAGCAGGAGACCCGACGCAACATCGAGGGGTTTGGGGATTTCGAGGAGCAGGAGAGAGCGATTGATCAGCTGGTAGCGAAGCTCAAGGGCTCGAAGAGCGAGACGGAGAGGCTTAATGAGCGGTTGGAGGCGGCGCGGTATAGTGTTGAGGCGTACGAGGCTCGGGATATGGCCAAGCGGGCGAAGCGGCGCAAGCAGTGGAAAGCGACGTGGGGCACGGTAGTGGGCGTGCTGGTGCTGCTCGTGGCGCTCTTGCTGCTGAAGCACCGTCGGCACGTCGCGTACCGACTGGAGGGTGTCGGTACGACGTTGTTGGCGGAAGCGGCGGGCGAGCTGGCGGAGATCCCGGCGGCGATGTTGAGGCGGCCGGCGCCGAGTCCGAGTGAGGATCCATATCTGCGGAAACTATTCGATGAGCTGTGAGGACTGGGGCCTTGCGGTGCTACTGTATATCTAGTTACCGGGCCATGATAATGACCAGACTACGCCGGCTGAGACGCCTTTAATAAATGTTCAGACCATACGCATTCGAGCACGTGACCGTCACCGTAACCCCGCCTACTACTACTACTACTACATCAGGTCAAATCCGGGCCTAGAGTTCGCCGATTTGCTGGGCTACCGTTGGACGTCGTCTGCTGTGCCCCGCTGGTACCCACCCACCCACCCACCACCACGACGCAGGATGAAATTTCGTGCAGTGATGATGCCAACGCCGAGATGACACCGACGGCATGTTAAAGCTATATAATCAAATAAGCATTGCTCGGGTTACATCAACAACTGGCGTTGTGGCGCAATGGTAGCGCGTCTGACTACGAATCAGGAGGTTGCAGGTTCGAGACCTGCCATCGTCAGTAGTCTACAGTCGCTGCCCTTATCAGGCAGATGATATCTCTTTTGCTAGCGAGCTCTTCTATCCATAATGATGGAATGAACCTCAAGTGAAGTTTCTACTCGTCGAGTCGCACAGATGGGCCTCTGTGGGCTGTATATGTTTTGTCCAGTGCTATTACTATGCTCGCAGCTTATAGTCTAGCATTCCCGTCGACATCATGCTGAGAAATGATCTTGCATAGCACTAACTTCACTAAGGTTCTGGTGGTCAACGACCACAAGTTCGAACGCCGGCAGAAAATACGTATCACGGCTAATAAGGACGATGACTGTAGTCGACCGCAGCATGTCTACTACACCCGTCGACCTCCTTGCCCGTTGCAAGTAACCGCTTCCACTTACTTACAGCAGATGGACAACAGATATAGCGATCCTGTCAACTCCGGCGACAGCCCACCTCATTATAGTAAATTGGGCCCTGGAGGACACAATGACGGCGCACTACCAGGTCTGCTCCGGTCGTCATCCTTGCGCTTCCCAATCTCCCAGAGATCCTGATGATCTGCTATGGTACGGCGTGGTATGATGTTTGATAGCACACCATGCTGTTACCATAGCTGGCGAAATCCACGTCAGCCCTGTTCCATACCGGTCAGATACCACTGATCTGCACCATCAGCCTGCCACGACGTACTAGACCAACAACGCCTACGTGACTTCCAATAGTATGAATACTGGGAATCGGAGAGGCTGGACAACAGTTTACACCTTTGCACCTGTCATCTTGGACTTCTGCCCGTGCACTGCGCACTTGTTGTCGCTAGAGTGGTGCAAAACCCCATCGAAGCCGACGCCTACCCAGACGGTGGTGCAGAAAGCCCTCACGGTATGCACCGCCAGTCGGCTGGAACCTGAGGCGAAGGCGAACATTGTGCGCGGGATGTGCACAAGTCAATCACATGCTGGGGAGGCTGCGTATGCGCTCCCTGACCTACATATTGCGAGAGGGCTAAGCTCGAGCTTGCCGGGATAAACTCGTCAATACCGGGGCGGTCTTCGAGCGGTCTTGGATTATTGCGATTGGAAGATGGGAGAGATCGCAGTGCGCACTGCGACGGACGAGGCTACCACCACTCATCTGAGCCCAGAGTGCCTTGACAGTGCTGTGTTCGGCTTCAGAGGCAATAAGATTTGCTAATAACGAAACATAGCATGACCTTCAATCGCCACATAATCTCCTGGTCTAAGGCTGGATTTTCATACGTCTTCCGCATGAGCACCGCCATGTTACGGAACCGGCCGAGGCTAAGTCGCATACAATATTCTGGCTACGGCAATTCATATGTGATCACATGCAAACGACAGGTCATCACATTATGGCTTCTCCGCTCGTCACTCCGGCTGAACCTCACTTCACCCTCTTACTTCACATGATGGCGGGGTGCCAAGCCTCCTCCGCACTGCCGAACCCTCCTTCAAACTCGCTCTTCCAACACAGCTCTATCGGGCTCGCACTCCCACCTTCAATACCGGTCTTGCGCCCCTTAGCAGATGACCATCGTCTCGTTGCGCACGGCTCGCACCCAGCTAGCAAGCTAGTCTTGCAGACACAATGGCGTCCGTCCGCACACTCTCCAACCTATGCCTTGCGCTGAAGCTCGCAGATGAGCGCGACTTCAGAAATGCAGTCACCGACATCCTCGCCAACGATAGTTCCATCTGCGCCAAAATCGACATTTTGCACGCCGAAGCAGAACATCGCGAGCACGCTGTGCCGAAGAAGCAGACTACGCAGCTCACCAGCGACTTAGAGCGGCTAGAAGGCATGCTGCTAGATCTCAGCTTTGCGACGGCAATCGCCGATGAGGACGGCTTGCTCCAGGCGCCTCTACCGGCAGCAGACACCGCTCGCACGACCAGCGGCATGAGGGATTGGCTCGCCAACCAGTTCGTCACTATCGACAGCAAGATGTGCTTAATGGACCTCATGCTCTTCAGTGCGACAGCGCGATGGCTGTTCTGGCGTCGCCTGCTGTCCAGGTTTGGAGATCGCAAGCACTTTTGCGCGGTGCTTTGCGACGAGGATGCGGACATGGCGCAAGCCAAAGGTGCTCTTCACGAGCTTCTGGAGCATGCAAAAGGGCGACTAGACGAGGCACTTATGCTGATGGGACTCCCGCGTGACTCTCACCTCTTCCCTGTCAAGGAAGCTGTTCGCAAGCGCGCCAGTCGAGGCGGCAGAAGGCGCAAGGGCAAGAGCGGCATACTAGAAGAAGTCATCGAGCCCGAGCCCGAAATTGAGGTCATCCGTCCAGCCACTCCAGCGACAAAGCTCAGAGTCGTCGGGAGCGTTACCGGCTTCACCCCAGAGGTAGAGATATCTCTTACCCGAGACGGGCCTCACGCACGTGCCATCATCGACACTGGCTGCGAATCTACCGCCATAGACATGGACTTTCTGCGCTATCTGGACCCGCAGGCGAATCTTCAGAGACTGCCGCGTCCAATGATCTCAAGCGGAGTAGTCTCAAAAGCATACCAGCTGCAGCAACACTACACCATGCTAGATATCTGCATGGACGCACGCATCTTCGGGCCTGAAGAACGTTTGGTCCGGCTGCAGATCGCCCATGAGGTCATGGTCGTGGAGGATTCCAGTTTCGACATGCTGATCGGTATGGACTTCATGCTGACCCATGATATCTCGCTGCACCCTAGCTCCATGGTCGTCAAATCCTGTGATAACGCTATAGTGCAAGTCATGAACGAAGTAAACAGCTTCTCGCAGACGATTGATGATCCTGAGGAGGAGAGGAAAAGAATGAAGAAGCTTCTTCAGATGGTTGAGCGGAGCCGCTTGCGCAGCCCAGTGTTGGATAGGGATGGTTGCGGATCGTCAGTGGTACGCACGACTGCCAGGCGTACAGCCTGACCATGTTCGAATGGCGGCAGAGGTAATGGAAGGCTTCGGCGCTGCAAGATGCTACAGCATTTGGCTGTCTGTACAAGACTCGACTCTGCTCCGACGGACGATAGTGGTTGGTTATTACATCGGCCGCCCGGGCTCGTTGCTGAAGACCTCGTCTTTATGACCAAGAGCTAGAGCCTAGACGCCTCAAACGCACATCGCTTGCGTTGCCTTTTCCATTGTCTGCGTGCAAGACCTCTTTTGACGAGCACCTGCATGTCTTCGGTCGAGAACCTATCCGCAGAGCCTATCCGCAACTCACTTCTCATCACTCACACTTCATCTGGGTCTCCCATCGCGATCGGCACCTTCGTTCTCTTTCTGATGTACGTGAATACAGACTGTATAGCACCGCAGGATGTCCAAGTTCCGCGAAGAGTGTCGACGTTCAAGTGAATCAGTGTAATTTTCACGACGACTGCCGTCAAACACGAGCGGTTCTTATCCCAAGATGCATCCTGGGTACTCTGTCTTTTCTCTTTCATTGCTGTTGTCGACGCTTGGTCTGGGCACATACTCTGGAAACCTCGAGCGAGCGATCTATGGGACCTCTTCCACAGACTCTGGCGTCTAGTGCACGCATTGCCGGAATTGACGACGTCTCCGACCGTATAGACATGGAGACTACTGCGCGCGAAATTGTTGCCGCCCTTGACGAGAAGGACTCTCGCAGATTCAAGCGCGCTGTGCGGCAGTTCCTGAACGACAAGGCCATCAAGACCATCGACGTCCTCCAGCCAAGCACTAGCGACACCAACCGGCCAAACCGCGACAAGGCTGATGACGCTGTTACTAGCCTAGACAAGTACGAATGCCGGCTCATGTACCTACACCTTCGAGCCGCACACCACGGACGCGAGAATCTAACGATGTAGACACCGAGGGCTGCACTCAGCAAGCAGCAATGCGAGGATGGCACGGGCAGAGATTGGCGCATACCGCATGTCCAGGAGTGCGGCGAGCTTCGCCGCTGGCTGACCACCAAGCTGCGTGGTTCGGATGGTTGGTCCCTAGGCGACAAACTCAACAGGAAGAGGTTGCAGTATCTGGTGGTGAGGTGGCGCTTCTGGCTTGCACTGTTCTCGGTGGACAGCAGCATCCAATCCTTCGCGGAGTCGCTGGAGCCCGCATTCGGAAATCCAGGGAAGGTGCAAAATGGCCCTTTAAACCTCGTGTGCAAGGCGAAGGCGGCAGTGAATGAAGCCATGCTCCTGCTCGGCCTTACACTGTCCGAGACGGCACTGTCCAACCCGCTCAAGCGGCCAGCACCGGAGCACGAAGTGGCGAACTCCAAGGAGCGTGCGCCAGGGCATAGGAGCGGGCGTAAGCGCGCGAAGCGCTCCGCTGATCCTACTCAGGGACTGCAGGTGATCAACTCCCGCTCCCCGGTCCTATCGAGTGGGCTCACGGAAGCACACGCAGGCTATGATCTCTACATCGACACCCACTTCGCTCCGGATGCAAATGGTCATTCCGTCATACTGGACACCGGCTGCACACACTCCATAATCAGTCTCAGCTTCCTCCGCGAAAACCTGCCGAATGCGCAGATTAGACGCTTCCCTCTGCCGTTCCTCATCCATGGCGTATTCGGGAGTGACGTGGTCAAGGAGTTCGCCATTCTGGACATTTACTTACGGGCACAACACCCCATCAGCGGCAAAATACTCATGGCGAAGCTTACGCACGACTTCAAGATTCATGGAAAGTCGTCCGCGGACATGTTGATCGGTCAGGATGTCATCAAACATCACGGCTTCGTTACTGATAATATCCAGGACCGAGTGATCATCAGATCCTGCGAAGGCGTGGAGGCGCGGATCTTCTCTCAGCCTTGCGAGCTGTCGCCAGTGGTTGACGAGACGTTCGATCTTGAGCGGGAGACGGATCGGTTGGAGCAGATTGCGCGGGAAACTCATGAGGCATTCCTCGGAGCTTGATCGGGTTGGTGCTGTGAGTCTGATAGAGCCAAACGGCCACCGGGCGGATTGATAGGCGAGGCAGCATGTACGAGGCGGCCCGGTTATCGATGAGCTTGAGCGGCTATCACAA